CTAAAGCTCCATATCTTTCCAGTAATTGACATTGTGATGCTTTTGCCAATGTGATTTAAAATAGTTCACTGTGGTTTCATTTTGCATATCCCTTACACTAGTAATGATGTATAGGGTCAATTTTTTTAGTACTCCCAAATCCTTTCTCTGCTGGTGTGAACCATCATTAACATATGGAAAGTTTTCACAAATATGTTAGATAGAATAATTTTCTTGCTGTTCTTAAGAATTTACACTTCAGCTAGATGCAATGGCGCACTTATGTAATCCCAGTGACTTGGGAGACTGAGACAGGAGGATCTTGAGTTCAAAGCCAGCTTCAGCAATTTAGTGAGGTCCCAAACAAATTAGTGAGACCTGTTTAAAAATAAAGAATAAAAAGGGCTGGGGGATATGGCTCAACAGTTACCTGGATTCAATCCCTAGTACCAAAAAAAAAAAAAAAAGTTTTACATTTCATAAGCAAATTTCAGAACAACTTGTGAAATTAAAGGGCAAAAGAGTCCATTAAGAACAACTCACTTTATTAGGTTCAGTCTCTTCAGCCTAGGCTATATAATGCTCCTCAATTTATTTTCTTGTTATTCTTCAGTTTTCTGGGGTTAGAAAATCTATTGTTTTAGGACTGGGGCTGTAGCTCAGTGGTAAAACGCCCACCTTGCATGGGTTTGATCCTCAGCACCACATAAAAATAAAAGATATTGTGTCCACCTACAACTGAAAAAAATTTAAAAAAAAGAAAATCTAGGGCTGGGGTTGTGACTCAGCAGTAGAGAACTCGTCTCCCATGTGAGGGACCCTAGGTTTGATCCTCAGCACCACATACAAAAATAAACAAGTGAAATAAAGGTGTTGTGTCCAACTACAACTAAAAAAATAAATATTAAAAAAGAAAAAGAAAATCTATTGTTTTATATTTAAGTAGTAATTTAATTGCTTCAGCCTCTGGAATTTAACTCCATTGAGCACATGATTTTCTATTGTTCATGGTTGCCTTCTCATGCCTCAAATAGTGTCTAGTAAAGACTAACTACTTGATAGTCATTGAATGCATGAAAGCATATATTATCTATATTAGCCTACTGTTTTATGCCTTTGATTACCTTTCCATTTTGATTTTCAATTTTGAAATCCACAAACTTTACATTTTTTTGTGTAATATAAGATGACTTATGTTTTCAAAATTACCTGAATTCACCCATACAATTAGTTGGGGTTGATGCTTTTTTAAATGGCACCTATGCATTTTTTTAGGGTAATAGTGATCATTTCTATTATTTCCTTGACCTAAATTTAAGTTCTGTATTCTTCCCAGTGAATCCTTATTTTCTTTATTTTATTGGTTTATACAAGCCATTCTCTTTAGAAACTTTCTAAAACTGGTTATAATAGTTCTACTACCTGTGTCTATATTGATTATTCACTCAGAATATAAAGACTGTCTTATGTTCTAAAAATTTTGTTTTTCCAATTTTGGTCTGATGTTTCCCAGGGATGCTATCTACCTTGTCCACTAATGAATATTGTTTTAAGTCTGAGGAGTGAATGAGTTAATGTATGTTGAGTATGTATAGCAGTGCTTAGTGCATAGTAGGCACCCAATACATATTAGGTTATCTGCTATTGTTGACATTCTATGTGAAGCATTTTACATGCAAATTCCTCACTTAATAGGCAACAATTTACAACAGACAGTTTCATTTAATACATTTCTACAATATAGTATCTTTTGTCATCCCTATTTGAAAAAAAAAATCCTGATGTTTAGATAATTCAAACAAGTTGTTCAAAGTCACACACTGCCATTGGTAGTGATTTTCCAGAATCCAAGTTCTTAGTCCTGGGAAGTACCTACTGCCTAGAAGAGACTGGAATAAAATGAGGCTATGTGGAAATGTAAGAACCAGATAATGGAGAGCCTCATTGACAATTTTAAAGGTGATGACAATTTTAAAGGAGATTGAATTTATAAGACTTGGTGATTGGTTGGATTGGGTGGTTAGTTTAAAAACAACAGCTAGCAAAAATCAGTTTTTTAAAAAATATTTCTTTAGATGTTGATGGACCTTTATTTTATTCATTTTTTTATATGCAGTGCTGAGAATTGAACCTAGGGCATCACACATGTTAGGCAAGTACTCTACCCCTGAGCCACAACTCCAGCCCTGCAAAAAACAGTTTTAACTAGAGATATGTTAATTTTTAAACTTTAAAACTTCAGTTTGGGTGCATTATGGGAAATGGATTTAAGGGTGGCAAAAAAAAAAGAATACCAGAAGGCCCATTAGAAAGCTGTAACACTGATCTATGTGAGATGAATCTTAGACTTAAGGTAACAATATTAAAAATAAGGAGTAAAAGTTCCAGAAATATTTAGGAGATTGAATTTATAAGACTTGGTGATTGGTTGGATTGGGTGGTGAGAGGGATTCCCCAAGGTGAATTCTCTGATGATGAGCAAGGTGTGCATGTTGCCTGAAGGTTTTCTTGCATTCTTTACATTCATAGGGTCTCTCTCCAGTATGAATTCTTTGATGCTGGGCAAGGGATCCACAGTAACTAAAAGCCTTTCCACAAACATTACATTCATAAGGTTTTTCTCCAGTATGGACTCTCTGATGTTGAGTAAGGGATGAGTCATTGCTGAAAGCCTTCCCACATTTAATACACTCATAGGGTTTCTCTCCAGTATGAACTCTTTGATGTTGAGCAAGGTAGGCAATCTGGCTGAATGCCTTCCTACATTCCTGACATTTATAAGGTTTTTCTCCTGTATGAATTCTCTGATGTTGAGCAAGGTGTGAATTCTGGCTGAAGGCTTTCCCACATTCCTTACATTCATAAGGTCTTTCTCCAGTATGTATTCTCTGATGTACAGTAAGGTATGCACGAAGGCTAAATGCTTTCCCACAAACATTACATTCATAAGGTTTCTCTCCAGTATGAACTCTCTGGTGTTGAGCAATGGATGATCTATTGCTAAATGCTTTCCCACATTCAATACATTCATAAGGTTTCTCTCCAGTGTGAACTCTCTGATGTTGAGCAAGATAGGCAAACTGGCTGAAGGCTTTCTTACATACTTTACATTCATAAGGTTTCTCTCCAGTATGAACTCTCAGATGTTGAACTAGATGTGCATTCTGGCTGAAGGCTTTCCTACATTCCTTGCATTCATAGGGTTTTTCTCCAGTATGAATCCTGTGATGTTGAACAAGGTTTGATCTCTGACTGAAGGCTTTCCCACATTCCACACATTTATAGGGTTTCTCTCCAGTATGAATTCTTTGATGAAGAGTAAGGGATGAGCTCTGGCTAAAGACTTTTTCACAATCATTACATTTCAAAAGTTTTTTCTCTGCATAGACACTCTTGGGTTTAGTACCCACTAAACTGTTTTTTAAGCTTTTCTTATATGTTTCATGTTTATATACTTTTTCCTCTTTGGGGATTATCTGTTGTGTATGAAGCAGGGTGTTCTGATGGAAACTTCCCCAAGATTTGTTATATTCTTCTTTTCTCTCATCAATAAAGGCTTCTTCATAAGGGATTGTCTCTTTCTTGAAACATGCCTTCTGATTTCCTGGTTGCCTTTCAAGAGGGCCTTCACATTTCCAGTCTTCTCTCAAACTGGAGTACTCAAACCCAAAGCTTGTAAGTTTTTCCATTATATTCTGGGATGATTGTTCTTCATAAAGTTCCTGCTTTGGCATCAATTCTTTAGTCTCATACATAGATTCCCAGCCTGAAAAAATAATAAGAAAAAAATGTCTCTACTATTCTGTGCCAGAAAGATCATTTCTTAAATTACATTCATAAAGTTAACCATGTGATCTGGTTACACATCTATAATCCCAGTGACTTGAGAGAGGCTGAGCCAGGAGGATTGTCAGTTCAGCAGGAACTTAGTGAGGCCCTAAGCAACTTACTTAGACCCTATCTCAAAATAAAAAATAAAAAAAGGGCTGGGGATGTGGCTCAGTAGTTAAGCCCGTCTGGGTTCAATCCCTGGTATCAAAATAAAGTTAACCATGTGAATTTTATAGTAAAGAAACCCAAAAGAACATTGGCTTTCATAGTTTTGAAGTGGGCAAGAAGAGAAAGTCAAATAAGTTGAAATAATTGAAATAATAAATAAATTTAGAAACCTGAGGAGGAATGATTAGAATTATAAGAAAATCAGTAAGGTCAATTTCAGGGCAAGAAGGAATTATGGATATGGTTGGACTCGGATATAATTTTAGACCTATGTTAAGAATACAGACATGGATATAGTCTCCATTCTTATAGCTGTTTCATTTAAGAACATTCATTGGGGGCTGGAGCTGTGGCTCAGGGGTAGAGCACTTGCCTGGCATGTGTGAGGCCCTGGGTTCGATCCTTAGCACCACATATAAATAAATAAAAGATCAATTGACAACTAAAAATTATCTTTAAAAAAGAACATTTATTGAACAAATACATAGATTAAATATTTAGTACTAGACATTGTCCTAGATGCTTTTAATGCCGTAAAACAAACATTTTTACCTTCATGGACTTTATTTCTTAGAAGAGACTGAAAATAAGTAAGTAAATTTTATTGTACATTAGAAGAAACTAAGTGCTTTAGGAAGAGGAAAGCAGGGTAAGGGAAATCAGGAGTGCTGGTGACGTCAAAGGTAAGAATCATTAATAAGTCAGGCAGGTGTGGTGGTGTGCGCCTATAATCCCAGCAACCTGGGAGGCTGAGGAAGGAGGATGGCAAGTTCAAGGTCAGACTGGCTCAAAATAAAAAATAAAAAGGGCTGGAGATGAGGCTCAGTAGTAAAGCACTCCTTTGTTCACTCCATGGTACCAAAAGATAATAATTCATAAGTTAACATTCAAGCAAAGATCTGAATGAAGTGAAGAAACTAGTCACCTATATTTTTAGAAAAAAAACATTTTGTGCAGAAGAGAGAACCAGTTTAAAAAGACATAAAAGTAGAAACATATCTAGTGTATTTAGGGAATAGTGGGAAGGACTATTCCTTTTCACACTAGAAGTATGGCTAAAAGGACTGAGTAGTAGGAGATGAAGCTAGGAGGTAAAGGGTGACCAGATTATTTAAATTTTATAGGCATTTTGCTCTGAATAGTCAGATGGAGTGTTCTGAGGACAGTTGCTGTATTACAAAATTATTGCAAGGTAGGAAACAAGGGGAGAAGTAAGGAGACCTATTCGAGTCATTCTGGTGAGAGATGATAGCCATTCACACCAGACAGATATTAGCAGAGGTATGGAGAGGTGGTAAGATCCTCAGTATATTTTATAGGTAGATCCAAGAAGATATCCTGACAGACAGGATACAACATGTGATAGAAAGAGATGAATCAAGCATAATTTCAAAGCTTATGATCTGAGCAATGAAGTATAGAGTAGCTATCAATAGTAATAAGAGTATTGCAGATCTGAGCAAAAAGGTCTAAAAGACCTGGAGTTCAGTCTTAAACATTTTTAAGATGTCCTTTAGAGTGGGCAAATGAACTCATGATGCTGGAAGTTAAGAAGTAAGTGTGGACTAGAGATTTAAAATTGGAAGTTGTCAGTATATAAGATGGTATTTTAAGATGTATCTGAAAAAATGAGTGTAGATAAAGAGAAAAGGAAAGAGCAAGGAATGAACCCTAGAGCACTCCCAACATTAAGATATATAGGAAAAGAGAAGAAATCAGCAAAAGAGAAGTGGCAAATGTAAACAAAAAGGAGTCAGGACTGCAATAATATCTCATGATAGTAAAGGTTATAACAACTTGTTTCATGAATATTCTGAAAAAGAATCAAATGTACTTCAACATAAAAAACAAGGTATTAAAATATATTAGGCAAGGAATGTCAAAAATAAATAATAGTAATAATAAGAATAAAAGTAGTTATTAAAAAGAATTTTGTGGGCTGGGGTTGTGTCTCAGTGATAGAGCACTTGCCTAGCATGTGTGAAGCACTGGATTCTATTCCCAGCACTGCATGTAAACAAATAAATAAAAATAAAGGTCCTCAACAACTAAAAAAAAAAATGGAAAAAAAAGAATTTTGTTTATGTGGTGGTTTGGATAAAACCCACAAATGATTTTTAAAAAGAGGGCACATAATAGAACATAAGGGCTATGGGAGAGGTTATTATTTATACGTCTACATTTTTATCTAATACAAATGTATTTTCCAATTTTAGAATAAATTTAAAAATAAAATAATTAACATTAAGAAGATACCTTTAGCACTGACAACACCATCACCAAATGGGGAAAATTCGATAGAAATAAACTTTACAAGAAATGAGCAAAATCAAGTCAGGCGTGGTGGTGCACATCTGTAATCCCATCAACTCAGGAGGCTGAGGTGGAAGGAAATGAGACCCTGTCTCAAAATGAAAAATAAAAAGGGCTAGGGGATGTGGCTCATCTACATTTACTTTACTACTTTACTACTGGATAATTTAGTAGTAAAGCACATCTTAGTTAAATCCTCTGTACTAAAAGAAAAAAAAAACCTTGAAAAATTAAAAGGTAGAGGTGTGTAGGTCAGTGAGAGTGTTTGCCTCACATGCAAGAGGCCCTGGGTTCAATAACTAGGACCAGGAAAGAGAGAGAGAGAAAAAAAACAAAAACAAAATATTGTTGAATTTTGTCAAATGTTTTTCTTTATTAATTGAAATGATCATGTGGTTTCTTTCATTCTGTTATTAAGGTGTTTTATATTGATCAGTGTTCATATGTTGAAGCTTCCTTATGTTTCAGGAAGAAAAATACTCTGAGAAAGAATCAAATATACAAATATACCAAGAGCTATTTTGAAAAGATAACAAAACTGATAAACCTTTAGCTAGATTGACTAAAGAAAAAAAATAAAGAGAGAAGACCTAAGTAAAATCAGAAACAGTGACATTACTATCACTTTTACAGATGGGATTACAAAACAGTACTATGAATTGCTGTATGCCAGCAAACTGGGTAACTTGAATGAAATGGAGAAATACCTGAAAGCTCAAATCCAAACAAAATCATAACATAACAGAAAATCTGAACAACACTACTATAAATAAGGAGACTGAGTCAATAAATTTAAATTCTCCAACAAAGAAAAGGCTAGGATCAGATGGCTTACCTGATGAATTCTGTCAAACATTCAAAAAAGAGTTTATATCAACACTCTTCAAACAGAAAATCAAAGAGCAAAGATATCCAAACACATTATATGAGGTCAGCATTATCCTGATACCAAAGCCAAACATATTATTAAGAAAACCATAGGTTGGTATTTTGTAAGAATACTGATGTAAAAATCCTCAACAAAATGCTGCCAAATGGAATTCAACTGTATACTGAAAGAATTATACAATACAAAGTGAGAGGCATTCCTGAAACATAAGGAAGCTTCAACATATGAACACTGATCAATATAAAACACCATAATAACAGAATGAAAGAAACCACATGATCATTTCAATTAATGAAGGAAAAAAATTGACAAAATTCAACAACCTTTTGTATCCTTTCAACTTTTCATGGTAAAAACTCTCAACAAACCAAAAACTACAAGAAAACTTCTGAAACATAATAAAAGTTGTATAGGTCTGAAAACCTCACAGCAAAGATCACATTCAATAAAGAAAGACTGAAAATATTCTTCCAAGATCAGGAACAAGGCAAGAATGCCTCCTTTGTCCCTTTTATTAAATCACAGTACTTGAAGTCCTAGCTAGAGCAATGAGAAAAGATCAAGAAATTAAAGGCACCCGAGTTGGTAAGCAATAAATAAAATTCTATCAAAAAACTACTAGAACCCATAAAAGAATTCAGCAGAGCTGGAGTCATGGCTTACTGTCAGGATACAAAATCAATACACAAAAACAGGTGCATTTCAGACACTAACAACAAATTATCTAAAAAGAAAATGAAGAAATAAGGAATAAACTTACCTAAGGAAGTAAAATACTTATATCCTAAAAATTAAACAATATTGCTATAAGAAATTAAAGATACCAATATATGGAAAGTCATCCTCTGTTCATTCACTGGAAGATTTAATATTAAGATGTCAAAACTTCCCAAAGTGATTTACAAATTCAATGTAATCTATATTAAAATTCCAACAATCTTTTTCTAGAAATAGAAAATCTGAAGGAATTATTAATAGCACAATGTTGAAAAATTGAAGAAAGTCAGAGGTCTCACACTTTCTGATTTCAAAATTTACTACAAAGGTACAGTAACTAAAATAGTGTTCTACAGACATACAAACCAATGGAATATAACAGGGAACCCAGAAGTAAACCCTCACATATGTGGTTGAATTATTTTCTGCGAGAGTACCAAGAACATTCAATGAGAAAGGACACTCTTTTCAACAAATGGGTTTGGGGAAAGTTGGGTATCCACATGAAAAATAATGAAGATGGACTCTTACCTTACAAGGTATACAAAGATTAACTCAAAATGAAAAAAAGAAGACCTACTCTATAAAACTCTAAAAAGGAGGGGAAAAACTTCATAACATCAGATTTGACAATAAGTTCTTAGTTATAACACTAAAAGTAAGGCAACAAAAGAATAAACAAATTGGACTAAAAACTTAAAACTTAAAAAAATATTTTTAGTTGTAGATGGACACAATACCTTTATTTAATTTTATGTGGTTCTGAGTTTCAAACTCAGTGCCTCATACATACGAGGCAAGGTCTCTGCTATTGAGCTACAACCCCAGCCCTCAAATCTAAAACTTTT